AAAACCCACGCAAAATAACAATTGCAGTGCAGTCAGACAAAATGCTCGAGTCTGAAGAGCCGTGGAATTTATTTGAATGATGAGCGCCTGCGACTGAATTGGCAAACAGATATGTAGATGCACACATGTACTATATAATACTATATGCATATGTAAATATGTTGCTGTTGTTGTTGTTGTTGTTGTTGTAGACATGCCCACTTTGTGGTTGCCGTGTAATTAGCGAATTAACTCTTCAGTTGATTTAATAAAACGTGCGAGGGGCGAATTGCTTGTGGCTCCATAAGCCAGCCAGAGAAGAAACTCTGTTGGAAAGAGTGGAGAGGAGTGATTACATATACAAGTATGATTGTGTGTGAGTTCTAGTAACTCCTATTTTGCCTTGCATCTGATGAGGAAGTCATTGAGTCCCCAACTTTTCTTGGCACTACATTTTGCGTTAATTGAATTAAAATTTAATTGTGTGAGTTGTGCGCATTGAATTAAATTGCACTCGCTGTTGCGGAAGATTTTACCAGCATACGAGCATCGCTAGAATGAGGTGAAAATGGCTGAGAAAGTGACATGCTTCTTTTTTTTTGTAGCCTTTATTGCCATTGCTAATGGCCATTTCTCACATTCGAGGCAAGTTCAAAAAAGTTGCTTAAGCTGGAACTGAATCTCGGATACGAGATCTTGTTTTTGCGTTTCCAGTCCAAAGCCCTGCAGCGAGAAGCAATTTTTCAATTCAGATGTCATTATGGCTTCAACACTAATTTTCATATGCATAGATCCAAACCATGTTTATGTGTGAGTGTGTGTTGCATGTGTAATGGTGTGTGTGCGAAGCGTTTGGCTGGCGGCAGCATTCACGTTGTTGCACAATTTCTCATTAGAGGAAAGAGACGAGGCCAGGCAGCAAAGACAGCAGACAGCAGACAGCAGAAGTGAGACCAGTCTACATACTTGTACATACATCGAGCAGTGAAATTTTCTAAGCATGAAATTTTCTACATACCCCTACCTACTTACATATGTAAATGCAACAATTAAATATGCATGATTTTCTGCCAACTGCAAATTTGCGGACAACCAGAAGTGGACACTGGGCCGACAAACTCCACAAAAATTGGGCCGCGGGGCAGAGACAATTATATAGTGAGTGATCGTACTACTTACCTACCACCGAGGAGGCCAGCAGCTCTAGGTAGCAGCAAAAAAAAATAAACGTTTTTTTCTTTTTTCAAATTAACTGAAAGTTTTCCCTACGTCCCGACCAAAGAAAGTTAATGCCGTTGTGCTTTTTCGCTTTTGTCATGTGGCCTGTGGAAGGCGAGGCTAACAAATACATGCATATGCAGGCTAAGTAAGTGACTTCGACAGCAGCATTAGTCGCAGTCGCTGCCACAATCGACAGGTCGCTAGCCCGTCTGCGCAGGCGCAACTGTTGCGGCAACGACGCGTATGAGTATCGGGTTTCGAACCAACTGAAGCGCGACTTGTAGGCTGATGCGGCAGAGACACACAGACTTGTAAACCCAAATACACTCGCACTCGTGGTATACTGAAATATTTTCGCTCGCAGCAACAAAGCCAGCTTTGGAAATTGTAATGAAAATGCATTTCCACTAGCACAAAATACAATTGTGTTGAAAATGTTGGGTTCGTACGGCAATGCAAGTGCAATACACCGAAAGAAAAAGTATTCAAACATTTCCATATTTGAATTTTGAACTTAATTTAGGCTCTTTTTTATATGATTTAAAAAACTAACAAATTTTTGTTCATCTTATTTAAAAAGTGCTCTTAATATTTGCCATTCACTTAACTAATAATAAGGACAGACAAATATGACAGACATATATGAAAATTCTCACTGAATAACTAATTTAAATGACAATTATAGCTTATCTTTGTTGCTTTTCACGATAAAAAGATTTTAGAGCATGGTTGGCGTCACGGCACCCAGTTGTACCCACGGAGAACTGACGCTAATAGTATTTTATAAATAGATGAAATCTATAAAAACATACATAAATGTGTTTTAAGAGTACAGGAGTTTCAAATTTCATTTTAAGGAAATATTTACAAATCGATTAATAAAAACGTCTGTCTTCAAACGTAATATAATAATCAGCTGTCTATTAAAAGCTTTTTTATTAAAATTATAATTTCATTATTTGCATATAATTTCGTAAATTAAAAATTATTAAAAAGCCATGCAAATGAGCTCAGGAAGTATAAATTTAAACAAAAGTTTGTGGTACTTTTATTATGAAAATTCACTTAATCGATATGGCTAGAGCGCACAATTTTTCAAGAACATTTGGTATATATTTTATTGAAATAATAAAAAACAATAAGCCGTTTTAAAACTTATTGTTCATGAACTACATACATAGTTAACAATTTAAAACAAATTCATTGCACATTACTATAATTACTTGTCTGATGATCTTCCACTTTGTGCCTAAATCAAAATATTTGTTGCAAAAATTAACAAATGCTTAACAAATTCGACGTTGCAGGAATATATACAAGTATATATGTTGAGTTATTTTTGAAATCATTCATGTTGTATTTCTTGAATTTTCACTAAAGTAATAATATTTTTGAGCTGGACTTGAAATCAGAGCATTCTATAGGTAAGAGGGTCTCTTCACAGATTTGTGAACTCAAAGTGTAGCTTCCACTTCACCACTATAACGGCTCCAAAACTTCTGCAATGGCACTTGTTGGCGTTGTTGGTATTGTTGTTGCTGTTGTTGCTGTTGTTTTTGTTGCAACGATACTTACTGAAGTTGCTTTTGTTTTGTTCATTTTGAATTTTCCGCGAACGGATTGTTCGTTCGCTTGCGTTGCACGGCTTGAATTTCAATTCCCATTAAATTCAGCTGCTCTGTCAGCCTCAGCTTTGTCAAGCGCAACGACTGCGGCAGCAACTACTTGCAACAGTAGCAGCAGCACCAGCACCAGCAGCAGCATTTCAAAACTGGGCGCAGCTGCATTCATTGTGTGTGCAACGAAAAGCCGGGCAAGTTTTAGTTTTTTAAGTTTACCAATAATAAGTATTGGTAATTGTTTGTTAACTGTTTTATGGCTGCGGCCGTTTCGGGCGAATGCCAGCTACACAGGTTCTGCCAGTGCGCCCGATTTGCATGCAACACAAACAAAGGCTTTCGCAGGTGCGGTGCAAGTGCGAGTCTCTTGATATGCCACTCGGGCCATGCCAAATAGCTGCGATGTGCGAATGGCGCGCGAGAAATGCGGCAATTGGCACGTAAATACTTATATACATATATATGTAGTATAGTTGACACTATTGAGTTGTTTTTTGTTATTGTTGTTAACCATTTATGCAAATGACTTACAATAAAGCCAAGACAGTTGTTCAGATAACAACTGACGTCGTTGGGTTATGCGGGGGCGTTATGGCAGATCATATGTCCAACATCCAACAGGGCTTCTGTCCACTTTAAACTTTGCATGTGACTCAGCTTGAGTCAGTCAGTTGGCCACTGATTAATGCCAGGGAAAAGCGTGAATGATTCCTTTTTGAAGCAAAGGTAACGTGATTTATTAGCACCTCTTGCCTGCCAGATTGTTTTTGTTTTTGTATTTGTATTTTCTCTGTTGGCACGCCAATTACACGACCATCAACGTTGACTAACGGTTATCGTCCTGACGCATTGCCCACCTGGAGGTGCTTGCATTAATCACTTTAGCAAATGGGTTGCTTAAGACAGTCATTTCATATGCGTAAGTGGGGAAAAAATATTAGTGTAACGGGGAAAATTCCTTTTTTTTGAAGAAGTTCTGAATTTCAGTTTTAGACAGGTTTGGAGTACGTCTAAAGGGCTTAAAAGGGAATAACCTATACACCAAATTCTGTTTTTACACGGCAGATTGGCTCCAGAAACAACCGTGTAAAAAAGGCATTGATCATATGCAAAAAGATGGGATTGGTTCCTTATCTCTTAAGAAATATATATGCAATTTTTAATTTACAAACCGTGTTATATCAAAATCGTGTGATAAAAGACCGTGTAAAAACCTAATTCTGTTTTTGTGTACATATATGTATATGTATGTGGTATACTTGTATGTATGGGCACATTTTAATATATGTACATATGTATTAGATTTCTGCAGAGTATATAACAAGCAGCAAGAAGCATTTCCTACAACATAGCATATAAGTAGATATAGTACATAAATCAACCTAAACATATCCCCGCTACAGAATTTTGTCAATACAGTACACACTTCCTAAGCTATAAAAACTAAACGTTGCTTACGTAATTAATATATAATTCTCCATGTTTTGTTTTATTCAAATATTCTATAAATTAGTACAAATTTATAAGGTCAACACAAACTGCAACAGTTTTTCAATTAATTCCCGAACATTTTTTTATCTGCCTAATCGATTTCCTATACCATATACTATGTGCTGCTATTTATATCAATAATGAGTCCTAATAACAAATTCCACTGACAGTTCCCATAACATATATGTATTTAATTCTAAAAGTGAAGAAGATTCGACTTAAGAAAGAAGAACCACTTGGGAATTCCAGTAGTTTTTCCTCACTTTAATGCCTGATTCGGTATCAAAATTGTTATTATCACTATTGGGTACGATTTCATAAAATTCGGTATTTCAATTTTGTGGGCTTAATAAATATTGATCTTGGCTTGATGCAAGTGTGATTATTATTTGAATTTTAATTTTTAATGTATGGAAATTTCATAGTTTTATTATTAAATTACTTTTGTAAAATATGTGATTCTTGTTTTGTTAATATAGAGTTCTAATTATTGTTTAGCACATATCGGTTTGAGGTTGTCCGCTCTATAATTTTCTGAGTGTAGCCAGCGTGCATAACAGTTGCCATTTGTGGCTGGAATTTATAGTGTCTTCTCAAGCTAACAGAACCTGAGACCCACGCATTTTGAAAAGATGCTAAATCGCACCTAAAAATAACTAAAAATGTTCAATTTTTTCTTTATGGTTTCAGCACTCCTTCGACTTTGGCCCACACGCTCAAAACTTGAGAAGACGAATAGCGTAAACAAATATTGGTGAGTCGCAATGCCCTGAATCGGGCACAGGGTTGGCCATCCTCAAAGGCATAAATTATGAGTATAAAATAGCGCCATTCAAAAGTAAATCTTGCCTTTCATAGGTTTCTATAGAAATGTTAATTTTCTACAAGGAAACGAACTCATAAATCTTCGCAATATTGTCAATTTGCATAAGAGGTGAAATGTTGTACTCGGCACAAGCCGAATTGATTGTTTGCAAAAATTTTAATTAGATATTTCAGATAACTAATTAATTTCCTGTCTTACTCGGCTTGAACCTCTGACCGCACCTTTTAAGGAAATTAAGCGAAAATGTCTAGACTTTTGACCCGACTCGCGATTTTTATTTTGTGACGCCCACCATATGTAGTTGGACGGCTCTCTTTCTGGGTTAGTTGAATTTGCATAAGCATCGCGGAACTTAACATATTCGAAAATAAAAAAAAATAAAGCGCACAATAAAAACTGAAACGGGTGGAAAAAAAAGGTAAAACGGTATTTCCGTTAGCGCACGCTTCAAGTTATTTATTTTGCGTCTGCTCGCCGCATTTTTCGCGTTAAAAATACGAATTTGTTTTTGGGTGACATGTTTGCTTAGTAAATCGCGCTTAAATTATTTAACATTTGAGTTTCTGCGTTGAACAACAACATCAACAGAAATAGCTGAAAACAAGCACCGGCGGATTATGTCATGGCATTTGCATTTCGAGTGTATGCGAGTGTTTGTTTGGGTCGCTATACTTGTATACTAGTAGTACGCCCCATGCCGAAAAAGCGAAATTATTTGGTCAGAAATCAAAACACTTCCGCATGGCCCGACAATTCGGGCGTGATTTTTTCTGCAATTGAGGAGATTACTCTACTAGATAATGCGACTGCTCAATTCGTGGGCGATGGCTGATAAGCCATACTTTAGTCTAGGTACATACTATATATCAGATGGATAAGTCAAACAGTATCTGTAGTGTGGGAACGTTTATCATTCAGATTTGTAGCTGCCTTAATCATTCAACAGTCTCGATAGGCAGATTGAGAAAAACTGCCCATCCGCTTATACAATTATAATAGTTGTATCGCGATATTATATTTAATTTGTATATTGGGGATTTCCGGCTAAAAATTTTCAATTCATTCCACTGTTTCCAGTTAAACGACAAAATATTTTAATGAACAGAAACTTAATCATATCAGTATATATTGCCGTATCACCCGAAAACGTATTCACTACAAAAAATGTTGCAAGATTTTTTGTAGACGGTGCAGGAACATTTTCCAATGATCTGCAGACCATATTCTTAGATGAAAAGCATAAAGGTTTTTATTAAAGATGTGTGTGTGTGACGAAATGTGGCAATTCTGATCACGCACGTTTCCGTTCACGTAATTAAAGGATTTTCATTTTTTTTTTTTTGTTCTCGCTCAAGTTGGCATAATTTTTTAGTTGTATCGGTTTCAAATTTGTATACCTATCTTAGGCTTACATATACATACGTAGCGGAATAATTAAAAGTATTTTTCCATTATTAGAATGATTTTTTTTCTGGCAGTGCATTGCTAAATGATTTTTATATACACGTACATTTTTTAAACCCAAATCATCTTCTGATCTTGTGAATGTTCATGATGTTGTGAATGGTGACCTCTCCATAAAATCCACGGGAATTTTGGCAATTATCACGTTCAAGAAATTCATTTAGTTTCACCTTTCCCCCACAGTTCTGATGTATAGTACTATTATCGTATCTATTATCTTATTATTTATAATTGTATATATTCTGTGATAGATGTATAATATGACTATTCAAATGAAGTAGGTTTAATATTCAAGCTGGTTGATCCGAAAGTAATACTATAACTATAATAATAAACAAGATAGCGTGTAAGACTATCCTGTACTTAAGCGTTTACACATTCGCAGATACCATAAGCAAAAAGAAGAAGCAGAAGAACGTCACCCTGCTAAAGTTTGAAGTGTCATTAATTCGCTAATAACTTTTCTTAGGATAAACAGTTTTGATGACAAATACAAATACATTTAAATTACGTATGCAGAGCTTTATTTTATGTATGTTTCGAATTGTGGAAAGAATTCCATTATATTCTGTAGCGGGGGATTCCTTTGCTTAGTAATTAGGAGTGCCAAATTTTGTTATTGTGAGCTCAGCCGTTCCCAAAATGTAGACGGACAGATCTAGATCGGTTTGTCTCATCATGCTGATCAAGAATATACATATACTTCATGATGATCCCATAAAATAGCGAGAAAGGGTATACAATTTAGACTAATGCGTGAAAATACTTGCTTGAAATGTCTCCATGTTCGTCCATATGTTTCACACAATAATCGTCATCAAAAATGGAGATGAAAAAAAAAGAGTTTATCTTAAAACAGATTAATATGATAAAACCAATATAGTTAACACGAATATAAATAAAATAGTATTGTAAAAGATCAAATCAGATCAGTGTTATTTTTAAAATGTCATGTAAACATTTTTAAATATGTCGTCATTATGTGGCAAAGATCGAGTTCGAGATTGTATTGAATTCTGCTCAGCTTGATTAAATTAGTCATTCGGCCAGTTTTTGTTTGCTGAATACAAGTAGAGACGATACAGACCAGATACAGACTGCGGGTCAGGTGCAGCATAATGGCTATAACTACATACTTAGTACTTGTATTTATGCTGCATGTGAACTGTCATTAAACATTTGGCATGAAGAGGTCGAGGTTGGGGTAGGGTCGAAGCCGGTGTGGGTTTCGGTTAAACGAGGCATTTGATTGGCGCGTGTGGCTTCTGTTGTTGCTTGGGCCCTGTTTTTAAAATCAACCAAATGGGTTTTGTGATACTCAAAACACGTTTAAGTCAGGTCTGTTGGTAGTTGGCTGTTGTTGGCTGTTGTTTGCGTTTGCTCAAGGTCATTTCGCAGTTTTCCGCAGCACCATGGTAGTGCCAGGTGCTGGTTTATTATGGAACAGCTTCCAGCGTACAGACTAATCAGCATTTTGTGTAATAAACAGTTAGCCTTTCCAAACGCCTTGAAACGGTAAATATTGTAGCAGCAACTGCAGTTAGCCATGCTAACTAACTGACTGACTGACTGACTAACAGACTAACAGACTGAATGGGTGGCTAACCAAACGGCGGCGACGGTGGCAACATGCAATGAGCACGTTTCCATGTTCAACTAGCGCCCAACGCCCCTCCAGAGAGCTGCTGCGATCAAATCGACAGCAAAGCAAATGCCGCGCTTCGCTGAGCAAAAATGATAAAGAAACTAGCCAGAAACATTAAAAACTGAACAATTTTTTCCTTCAATTTTGTTTCATTTTTTTTTTTTTTTAATAGCCAAGCTGCTTATGTAAGGCTTACAAACTGACCAGCACCATTAGGCGCTGTCCAACCACACTTGCCGGCCATTTATGTATGTATGTACGAGCATGTCTGTATATATTTATGTATTTATGTATGCTTGGAGCCCAGAGCGATTGCTATAACTCGTTTCTATGTCGCTTGGTCCTAAAAACCGTACAAGTGTGCAAGATGTCTGATGTCGCCATCATTGGCACTGCTTACGATAAATGATTCAAAACAATTTGCATACACAAACATATGCATAAATATGCATATGATGGAGAGACGGTATGATATTTATTATTATAACCAATACTCAATATTTTTTGGGACTTGTTCGATGGCAGCAAATCGTTCCAGAGCCAGAGCAAGCCGAATCGAATCGAATCGAGTCGCCGCTGGTCCATTGAAGTATTTTTTGGGCGTGTTTGCTTTTTAGCTGATTGCGTGTGGCAAGCGCCACGAAGTTTACCGTTTATCTATTTTTCATTTTTTGAACAGTATTTATTTGGTTTTCTGTTTTTTGCATCTACTTTAATAGTGAAATATGTAAACGTACGAGTGTATCCGTAAATGTGTTTGTAAAATGTTGCGCTTTCGTGCCAGTTGGTCCGAACGAACTGCTTCTCCAGTTTACAGCCTCGACGTGGTGTTATGGCACCATTTCGATTTATTACGCAATGTATTTTAATTAGTGATCAAAGCCTGTGCCGCATGGATTTGTTCATTTCACAGTTTTGTTTTTCACAACTCTTTACTAATTCGTTTCATTGCCTCGCGCAACGGGCCATCGTTGAAATTGAGTTGCCAAATTTAAAGACGCGCAGCAGGTGCAAAATTACTTTGGAAATGCTCTTCAACTAACCATTGTATGAGCTGTGAAATAAATTGATTAGTAACTAGAGACAATTCAATTGAAATGGTAGATATGATGCCAACAAACTGAATTAAAGGGGCAAGGCATATACAAATAAAACCGGTCAAATGGTATAAATATTTGTGTAGTATGTAGAAAATAAGGCGGTAGCGATATGCCTTACTGGCTATTTACTAGCAGCGCTGCTCTGTTATGGCATAATTTCTTCTTAAGTTATCGATTCACACTATTATCCAACGTCAAACATGGAAGAGTTGTTTGTTGCGAGTTGGAGTATGAAGAGGTTGTCAGCTGTTATTATATTTATTGTTAACTTTAAAATGTATCCTAAATAAGCATTCACATTAAATAAACTCATTTGCATTAAAAACCTACATTAGTGTTATATCACGCAATATAAGTTTCAGACGACACAAAATCTGTCGTTTTCGTTAGTCAGTCTGTGTGGTGTTTGTCTGTCCGTATGAACTCCCTTATCTTAGAGATCACAAGAGTTACAGACACCAAACATTACATGAAGATTTTCAAAACTTAAATGCAGTTTAAGATTGTTTTAAATATTAAATATATCAGTCAGTAGTTCTTTAAAGTATATAAGTTTCAAACGACACAAAAGCTGTCGTTTTCGTTAGTCAGTCTGTGCGGTGTTTGTCTGTCCGTATGAACTCCCTTATCTTAGAGATCACAAGAGTTACAGACACCAAACATTACATGAAGATTTTCAAAACTTAAATGCAGTTGAAGATTGTTTAAAATATATAACA